GAGATATTACTCTGGCTATTCTCACTTATGAAATAAGAGAAGAATATTCACTTATTATCTATATAGAATAGCTAGATACTGACTTCTTATTAAAGAAGTCAGTGATTTGTTTTTTCTTCTATTAAAATATATACAAGAGTTACTGTATATCTCATACAATCTTCTTAGTATACTAAGTATTATATCTGTGATATTCTCATAATAATTCTGTAGTCTATAAGCTTGCTATTCAAGCAAGATAGTCAAGCTTACTTATACAGCTTCTCAAATAACTACTTCTATATGACATCACTGACTAGTCATCACTTCAGTTCTGCTATGTTACAACTTTCTTATTTTTTCTAAGTCATGATCTCATTTTAAGATCTGATATATTGTAAGAATAAGTGCTCACAGGCGGTTATTCAGATATTTGCAGCTTGATATGATATGTACTGTTAACTACTAGAAGTATTCATAGTAGAAAGATAAAATATAGAAGTTAAATATATAATAGTATTCAAGCTGAGTTATGAATAGTATTTGTGAACTTCAGTCTATATAGTTGTGTGTAGTCAAGAGCTGCTAGCTCTATTAATTACATAAGAGATAGAAATAGAGATAAAGAATTCATAAGAAGCAGAATTTCTTACATACTTCTCTCTCTCTAAGACTTTGTTTGTGAAGTCTTTCACTGAGTGACTTCATAGAATCAGCTCAGCACTGCAGTGATTAGACTGATCAGTGAGACTATGAATTTCACATTTGATCTCATTTGATCTGATTTCATACATTTCTTAGCGTGAGTCCCATCAGGATCAAGCCTTAAAAAAATCTGAAAATGAATCATTTCTGAGAGAAATGATGTGAAAAATGACCAGATTTAATTCAAGAACAGTGAAATGAGAGTAATTTCTCAGAATAAACTGTGAAAGATGATCATTCTTTGAAAATCAGAATGAAACTAAAACTGAAGATTAAAATCAGTCTCATTCAGTTTATTCAGTGATTACTTATATAATCAGAATTTAATAATGATTATTAATAATGCTTATGAAATAATTAAATACATTCTTATATAAGTTTATTCTTTACTTTCTTATAAAAACTACACTTCTCTGATATACTGTGATCAGAGATATTAAATCATCTGATAATTTCATATTTTATAATCATGAGTTTCTTGATTATTTCTTCTTATAATTGTTCTCAGTAATAGTAATAAATATCTTAACTTGAGTTGAACTTTCACTTCATTCTCATCTCTATTAATAAAATTATCAGAATATTACATGTCATCAGTGTAATAGTTGAATATATACTCTCAACAATTTTTTATAACTCTAGAATTGATTTGATGTATAAATTTATCAGATTATCTTGAAGATAGTGATTAAATTCAGTTTTACAAGTATGTAATTTTGCCTGATTTTCAGTTGTAATTAATGTATATAACTTCTGTTTCAAAGTTAGTATTATAGTTCTATGAGATATGAAGTATTATCAAAGATTGTTACTTACTAGAGAATTGTATTTCACTGTCTTCATATCTCAAACATCTACTTGTTCAAATCTCTGATAGTTGACATTGTAGTAGTCTCAGACTAATTTAATATACAAGTCTTATTTCTCATCTATTCAATCTTAAGAAGTGTAAATATTAATTTAATAGAAGAAATCTAGTAGAGCTGCTACAGTATAGTACTCTGTAAAAGATTATTCAGTTTTGCTGTAGTAATATATCAGTTTATTTCTTACAGTAATAATAGCCTGCACTATAGCATTATTTCAGACTGAATTTCTTTTTAAGTGATTCAACTCCTTCTCAAGATAAGTAAATAAACTGTTATACACTTATCAGACTGACTGCAGTATTAATATATAAGTAATTAAGACTATCTTTATTATCTTATAAAACTGAAACAGTAAATTAATTACATATTTCAACTGAGTTCACTTCATGTCAGAAAGTTTTAATATCTGAATCTTTTTCTAATCAGAGTATTACACTTAATAATCAATTATGTAACACAATCAAAGAGTCTGAACAGTTATCTTATATATTGAACTTTATCATATTCTAACATTCTGTATCATATTCAGTGATGTGACTGATTTATTTATTTATTGAATATCATGAAATTATTATTATTATTTAGAGAAGATATAAATTGTATTAGTAATGTTTTAAATCTGTGATATTTAAATTATTAATCAATCTATTCAAAATTAACAGTAGCATTATTAAAAAGTATTATTAAAAAATAATATTAAAAAGTGTTATTAAAAAATATTATCTTTTATAAAGTAGATGCAAAAGTTACTTAAGTAATCATTTTTATCTTATTCTCATTTCAAAGAATTAGTTATCTTATTATTCTTTATCTCAATATTAAAAGTCTTTATCAGTGTTTATATTATAAGTTGAATCATATAAGTAATACAGAGAATATAATCTTATTTATTATTTTAGAAATGCAAAGTTAATTTTTGCTTCAAGCTCTTCATCATAGCATAGTTATTCACAGTATTATCAGTTATAATTGTAAGAAGACTGAGACTAATATCTCAATAGTTATTTTTAATCACAGTTATTAATATCTCTATTATATAATTCTCAGTATGACTACTGATCAATGATTCAAATTCAATTAATATCTCTTGATAAGTTCAGTTCTTATCAATATAATAACATATAACACTTATAAATGTAAGATTGTTTATACTAGTTCATGTATTCACTGTAAGAGACACTCTTCAATGATTCTTCAACTCTGATTCTAGATATTATATATTAACTTTGTAGTATATCTTAAGATTGAACTGAAGACAGAATTAATGTGAAATATGAAGATTTAAATTAAATATTTAAAGAAGTGTTCAGAATTCAGAGTTTTCAATTAATTGAAGAGAAAGATTCAGAGATATATATATACAAAGTAATTATTCATAAAAGTTATCAGATAAGAGTTATGAAATCAGAGTACTGATATATAATCATTTTTACATAATTTTCTTCAAATTAGAAAGTTAGTGTTATCAAAAATTATTATCTGATAGAGTAACTTATCAGCTCAGTAGTAATTTTCTGATTATTTTTCTTTTATTATCTACATTCTGATAACTTCAGATATCAGAAAATTTCTTCAAAGCTATGATTATTATTATTATTATTCTTCAATTATAGATGTATACAGTCAGAGACTATGACATCTACCTGAGAATCTTTAGTTCTCAGAGTTTTTCCTATATCTATAGAGTTAACTTATTATACATTTATCAATTTCAAATATGCAAAATCAGAAAATTCCAGCTCAGAATATAAAAACTGTTTACAAATTGCAGTATTTTAACACCTTCTGATAGTTTGAAACCATTTGAAAATATTATGACAAAACAAAAGAGAACATAGTCTTAAAGATAGACATATTAAATAGATAGAGAAAAGAACAGAAGAAAACAAGTACAGTAAAGAGAGCTACAGAACAAGATCTCTGCAGTTTACATCTTAAGCTATATACATATTTTAACACTCTATATAACCGACCGCTGCCTCTGTCCTCTCAGGCCTGCTTCAGGGATTATCATTCCCTCTAAAGAGCCACCGCTCAGCTAGCTTCTGTAACTAGCTTACTCATAAGTGAGGTCCTCACTAAGAATAATACCAGAGCTATTCAATTCTAGTTAAGTCTCTAATCTTCTGACTGTCAATCTCAGCATTCCAGCCTATCAATTGACTGTCACAGTCTTGCTTGCACTAACCACCTATTAAGGGCGCCTAGGCCTCATCTCATCTAGGTCCTTGCTAGGCCCAGAGTGTTCTAATCAGATAGTTTTTAAATCTCATTCCCTGGAAGTGAGTGCCTAGAGTGAGGGGGATGAGACCTGGCCAGTTAAGCTTGACAATGATTCACTATTCTGCAGACACTCTAGACCTCAATCACTCTAGTACTGATCTAACTTGAAGCACCCGGGGGGCTGTTAACCCTAAGATCAGTGAGAATTAGCGCCCGGGAACCCCCGGGATGGACATCTTAAGCTTGACAATGATTCACTATAGTGCACCCGGGGACCCCCGGTACTGTTTTATGACTTAACAGTGAAAGCTGTGATTAAGATGGCCCTTGCAGGGTTCGAACCTGCCCCCTCTTGGCATTCATTCCCCGGGGGGAAGGCCGCTAATTGAGGCTCAAAGCTATGATTAGTTCATGATAAATGTTTCTGAATAAAGTTACAGTGATTATAGTAGAGAGATGACTCTTCAGTAATCTATAATACAATCTGTTAATAATTATTTCATAGTTCATCTCAGTGTTTGTGTTGAGTTTTTCATAAATTTCATAGCCTGAAATCAGATGTGAAGAATGAAGTGATTATTTATTATAATTAAAAGAGAGTATTCTGTATTAAATTATAAATAATGTAGACTTTGTGATTCACAGTGATTTCTTAAAGAGTTTATGAATCTTTAATAGAAGTAAAAGAAGTGAAATAAGTGAATTCAGAAGACATGATAATAATTTGAGAAAGATAATAATTTATTTTCAATAACTGATCACTGATGTGTGTAAGAAGAATTAATATAAGAGAAAATAATCTTGTTTCTTAACTTAGTTATAATTTTAGTACTAACTCAGATTGAATATTATTAATGTATAAAAGTAAATAAATAATCTTGATTAATCTCTGTCATATTTCTTGAAATATATTAATATTGTGAAAGAGAGTGTTATCAAATTGCATTATCAGATAATATTATTAAAAATATATTAATATTGTGAATATCAATGTTGAAAAAATGTTAATACTTATATATTATAGTGATTTGTGAATCATGATAGTTAAATATATATATATATATATATCATTCCTGACTTGATTACAACTTGTACAATAATTTTTGAAAACTTAAAATCAATTTTAATTATTAATAATTAAAAACTTAAACTTATAACTAACTAATATAAAAAGAAAAAAATCTACTTCTTCTCTTTCTCATTTTTCTTATTATTTTTCATAATTCACTTCTCATTCTTCTTCTTCTTCTTCTTCTTCTTCTCCTTCTTCTCATCTGAGATGATAATCATCTCAAAATCTCTCTTCACTGCCTTCTCAGAGAAGGGTTTCTGCTGCTTCTTCTCAGCCAGATCAACCTGCATCTTAAAATCCCGCATTTTCTGATCTGCTGTCTCAGGTTCTACTTCAGTGACAAGCAGATTGACATACTCAGAGAGCAGAGCTGTCTTCTCAATATTCTAAATCATGAAGTGCATTTAAGACCTGAACAAGGCCTCAATTCTCTTCTTCTCTATCAGCTCCTGCTAATCAATTAGAGAACAGAAGTATTATCAAAAATCATTATCTCTTAATAAATAAAAAACTTATCAGTTTTGACTTCTTTATCTTCTACTTTAATACTCTCTCAATCTTCTTCTGCTGTCACTTATTTACAGTAACACTCTTCTTCTCTCTTTCTCTCTTCATCTTGAACTCAAATCATTCTTGAGACTTCTTCTGATCTCACTGCTGCTGTATGAGACTCTTCACTGTCTTCTTCTTCAATCTCTCACAGGCAGTGTCATTCACATTATTTCTATACTTAGTTCAGTCTAAATCTATCAGAAGTGTTACTTAAAATCATTATCATTCTGCTTTCTTACAGAGTCTCTTCAAGACATTATAATATATCTTACAATCTGTCTTCTCTCACTGGAACATTTTCTTCTCCTCTCTCTTCAATCTGTGACAGCGCTCACGCGCCTTGATAGTTCACAGAACTGCAGAATATTTGAAGAGAGATGATATAATTAATTTCAGTGAGTATTGAAGAGAGATGAAGGCAGAAGAGACAGTCAGAAATGATATAATAATAGTAATAATGATGATAATGATGATGATAGTAATAATAATAATGATAGTGATAATGTTAATGATGATGATAATAATGATAATAATAATGATAATAATAATGATAATAATGATAATAATGAAAGAGAAAGTGCATTGAAATATATTACTGACTTATCAAATATAAAGAGATAAAGAAAATATTAACAGCTTTCAGAGATATATGAAAACAGCTACAGTATTGTATAGTAACATGATCTAGACTGACCGTGTGACCGTGTCTGAAACCAGGACCAGATTTTTTGATAGTCTTATTATCAATTCGACTGATCCCATTACACGGTTTTAATATTAGATAGTAGTCTCATACTGTCTCAGTGAGACTTACTGTCTACTCTTATCACATTTTTCAAATGAGACCATGATTTCCACTTCTCAATTTAAATTATTTTTATTGCTTTAAATGACTTTAAATCTCATTTGAGTGTTACCAAAAAGCGTTACTTTTTAAAAAATTAAAAATAGTCTAAAAAAAACCTTAAAATGTCTAAAAATAGTAACTTTATGCTAAGAATGAGACTAGGGGAAATCAAATGAAATCACTTTCTCATTTTTTTCAAGTCATGATTCCATTTTAAGATCTGATATATAGTCACTTTACATGTTTTTTTGATAGCCAGTCCCAGCGGGATTCACGCCAAGAAATGTATGAGATCAGATCAAATGAGATCAAACGTGAAATTCATGATTCTGACAGCCAGTCTAGCAACATCATCTTCATTCAATACATACAGTGTTGATATTCTTTGTATACAGTTATTATATAATCTATATCAGAGATACATGCAGAAAACAGATCTTTATTACTAGAGAGAATAATTACAGCAATTCTCTGTTTTCATATTATAAAAATAAGTTATTCTCATTTCTTTCTTCTCTCTTTTCTCTTCTTCTTGAATTCATCACTAAGTTCAAGCTGATATGAAAACTATTAAAACACTCTTAGAAACTCTCAAATTGAAGAGTATAGACTAATTAAATTTTAAATACAGAACAATCAAATTATATTCAATATTATTAATTATTCATCTCTTCTTAATAAAATCACAGTTGTGTCTTTCTCTTCTCCTCTCTCAAATGAAACATGGTCTGTGAAAAGTGAGTATCACACCAGGTCACAATGACTAACACAGTCTCAGTACACAGAGCTGTATATACATAGTATGTGCTGAACTGAGAGACTGTATGAATTACAAATCAGTATCAGCATCTCAGAGAGAGCTGTGTGACATGAGAAAGCTGCAACTCTTGATCATGTGTACAGAGAGTGAATTAATGCAGTAGATGCATGTGTATTGTATAAAAGTAATGCTTTTTAATAATACTCAGTCTCTGATATCATGAAAATAGAGTCTCTTCATGAGATTCATTTTTATCAGAAGTCAGAGAATCTTATATTCTTTAAAATTATCTTCACCTGCCTTGTCTGTGAAATCAATGAGAGAAATCATTGATTTCAGTATTCTGTTCTTGATATCATTCAAGTGACAGCAGAGTTCACTCTGATCACACTTTTTAAGTATATATTTTCTAAATATTCACATTTATACAGATATATACTGATTATTTATTAGATAATATTAAGATAATAACTTATTACAGCTGTGTTACTCTCACTGTGAGAGATATATAATTGATAATAAATATTATAAAGACTCTGAAAAGTAAGTATTTTGAGAGTACTGCAGCTCTGTGATCTTGATTTTTTTTTATTTTTATTTTTTATTTTTTTCTTTTTCTTTTATTTTTTTTTTTCTTTCTCTTTTTTTTTTTTTTATTCATTCTGATTTTTTCTTGTTTTTATTTTGTTTTTTGTTTTTTGTTTTTTTTTATATTTTATATTTTTTTCATAATTAAAATTATATGAATTATGATCTGTGTTCAGAAAAGTAATAATATTTGATAATACTCTCTATTGAATTTTTAACAAATGAGTACTATATTATAATATTATGTAAGTGAGAAGTAATTTCATAATCTCATTTAATGCCATTCTCAATAATGAGATCAGAATGAAAATGTGACTAAGAATTCAAATATATTCTTTATTCAGAACTAGATTTTTATTTGAAAAGTGAATCTGAAACCTTTAATATTTAAAATAATGTGATTTGAGATCAATGTAATGAACATAAATTATAATCAGAAGTAATGCTTTTAGATAATATAATAACTGTAAAGTTTGATTCTGATCTCAGACACGGTTACACAGTCAGTCTAGCAGTGATACTCACTAAAAATTCTTCATATCTATAAAAAATCTCAGTGAGGAAAAATCTCTTATTACTGTAAAGAGAAAAGAGTCTGTTACTTAGTTTCTTATTCTGTAAGATTCTTTATAATTTACAGATTCTTCTCTAACTATTATATAAATTCATCTCATATCTTTTATATAGAAGAATTTCAGTTGACTCTCAATTATTTTTATAAGATTCTTCTATAATTATTACACAGATTGATCTCACAGATGAATCACTCTCTATAAGATTATTCTCATCAAAGAGAAGTATTTATAAGTTAATCTTTCACTTATTCTTATGAATCATTATTCTTTGATACTGTAGAATTGTAAGAAATTTTTCATTCTTTTATTAACTCTGTAGAATTATAGAATCAAGATATTCACAGTCTATAATCACTCTTTATAGTCATATAGAAAGATTCAGACCTGTGATTTATAATTACTCTTATTTACTACAGTGATCTGACTATTCTATAGAATCATTCACAGTGTAAGTAAATCTCTCTAGAGTAGTATAAATATCTCAGATCTGTCTGTGAAATCTTATCTTCTTTTCTCTTTTTCTATAACAGCTTTTATTCTTATAAACTGTGAGTATTCTTATTCATCTGTGAAGTATTTTTACTCAGATAACAGAGAGAGAGTATTTCTGACAATATTCATATATTAATTCAAGAATTTCTCAAGAATAAAAATTTTTTAATTTTAATATCTTTATAAATAATATCTGATCACTGCTGAGCTTCTTATAAGTGTTTTTATAACTTCTCTGATTACTTTTTAATGACTGATGAAGCAGAGATATTACTGCTTATAACAGTGTCTTTATCTCTCTCAGTCTCATTACTATATCTGATCTTTAGACTAGTAATTAATTTCATATCTTTCTCAGATCAGTTTCTGACTTTAAGTAGCACAGTCTCTCTCTTTGCTGTAAGTCTTCTTATAAGTAATTTCTTACAGATTCTAGCTAACAGTTCTTACAAAGCTCTCAGTGTTATCAGTGTCTTCTACAGTTCTGCAGATCTATGATCACTCTCTCTCTACTCATACAATCTCTGATCAGATATATACAAATATATCTAGATTTTCTATCAATGATTCTCACACTGCAGTGCATTTTCATAATCTTATTATTAATAAGAGATAAGTCTCTGAGTATCTGCCAAATTTAAGTAATCAAGATAATACAAATATCATGAATTTATAATAAGAGTTAATCTAGACAGATAAGTCTTCTCTCTGTATCTTAATTATTTCTGAGCTGAATACTTCAGCATAACTGAGAGAGCAGATACAGTTTTATAAGAAGCATCTGATTACATATACAGATAATCAGTTCTTAAGACTCTGCTATAACTGTGTATACTCTGATATTCAGCTTCTCTGAAGTCTATATATTTCTGACAGTCTTTGTATCAAATGTAATAATTGTCTGTACTGCAGATATAATATTCTCTACTTCTTTAAAGAAGAAAATTAATAGTTGTGAGAAGATTGAGTATTGTAAGTATTAAGAATATGAATTTAAGTTTTCTTTATTTTTTCTTTATTAATCTCTAAATTGTATTCACAGCTCTGTTTTTATTTCTTATTTTTTTTAACTTTAATAAAAGCATAATTTCTTCTTCTCTTATATACACTACAGACTGTTTATCTCAGTAGAAACTCATTATCTTATAGACTAGAGCTTATAAATGACAGTGATAATATCTTTATTATAATCAGATTCTTAGTGAAGATTATATTATTCTGACTTATCAGAATTTACAGTATAAAAGTCATATCTCAGCTTCTGCAGATGTCTTATCTATCTAAATAATTCTCAAGTGAACTCATTCATCTTATTAGAATACTCTTATCACTGAATCTTGAATCAGAGCTTATAATCTTGCTTCTCTGAGTCAATAATTTCTTTGATCTGATATTCTCTTTCACTCTTTAGTACTTTATAAATAGAGTGATGAGTCACAGAGTTCTCTTCTAAGAATTCCTTATATTCACAGAGTAAAGAGATATAAAAAATATTGTATATCTGTAACTCAGATAGCAGTTTTAATCTATAGAACTATGAGCTAACTTTCTTCATAATCTTATAAGACTCTGTCTGTAAGAGATTCAGCTTCTTACTAGATCTTCACATAATAATATTTTCTAAACTCAGTCAGACTCTATTATCTTTCTTAAAACTCTTTATAATATACTTGAAGTTATAGTATCTCTTCTGATACTCTTGAGTCTTTCTCAAGAATTTACAGACTTTCTCTCAAATCTTCTGAATTCTCTCAGTCTGTTCACAGGTATCATCACACTCTATAGTATACTCTCGCGGGTT